GAGATAAATATTAAACTCCCTTCATCCTGTTCGGTCCCCTCTCATTTCCCTCTGGCTGGGTGTCACAGAGATGAACCCATAGCTGACAAGAGGGAGTGGGGAGGTCTCAGGCAGAAGCTGGTCTGCTTTCTCTGGACGTCACAACAAAGGGGTCACATTAGAGTCTTTCCCTCATAGTTAATGCCCCACCGAGCCCTGACCTACTCGGTGACATTGGTTGCTTTGGAAAGGTTTCCAGTCAGTCAACTGGGGAGCTCACCACCCTGTGTATGTAGGTGCAGCACTTGTCTACAGAAAAGCACACATGGGCCATTTGAAAAGCCTGAGGTGGCCATTTTGTTTCAAGATGGAAGATGAAGTAACCACTGAGGTGTAATTTAATACCTCCAGGGAGACAATTTCTTGCATATGTAGTCAACTTCTTAATGGAGCTGAGGCCCAAACTATGACAACATGAAGAGAGGGATAGACCAGGGCCCTCTAAATCTGGACACATGGAGAGCTGAGGCTGCAGCGCAGAAGGCACATACTATATAGGCCACCTTCCTTTCCAGCACTGGCACACTGGCCCTCTTACCTCTCAGGCCCACTCTCCTTCCACACTGGGAGCTGTTTTTCCACTCAGCGAGTACACATTTAGAATGCCAGCCTCTCCCCAATTCAAGACTGATTCCCATGGAAACCAGCAAAGGGGAGGCAGAGACAAGCACTTTCTCCCTGGCCCAGATACATTAAAAAACCTACACGTTCTCTAAAGGCCTTGTTGAAATGGTGGGCTCCACTGTTTTTGCTTTTGTGGTGCTGGGAATCAAAGCTAGGGCTTCAGGCATGCTAGACAAGCTTTATACCACTGCAACGTCCTTTGCCCCCAAAGGCACTGTTTCTAAGGGGACTTCCTTTAGAAATCCTCATGCTATCACCATGTCAGCACTATAGAAGGTAGAGGAGTGGGTTTCAAAATCAGAAAGGCTGTAGCGTGAGGTCCTACTGCAAGGCTTGAAAGAGGTGATACTAGCCACCTAAACTTCTCCAAGCCTCAGTGTTCTTACACCCGCAGTCCTAAAACATGCTTTTTTATTGGACTCCTGGGCCAAACTCTTCCATTAGGCAAGCTCCATGTGAGCCAGTTTCTTCTGAATCATATCCATAGAAGAGAAACCAGCATTCAACCTTTGTGGCTCACTAGCTGATCTTACTAAGCCTCAATTTTCACACCTGTCAAATGGGACTACTTTATGGGGTCATTGTGAGGATTCAATGTATTTGTTCCTGTTGGGTGCTTAGCACAGTGCCTGGGCACAAAGGGTACTTGCTCAGTGCTGACTGGTGAGATCACAGAATCTGGACTGAGTAGGTTTGCCCCACAAAGCCCCTGAACGCCTCAGCAACCCCACAGGTTGGAAAGACAGGGCCTGAGGGTCTGTGTCCTGAGAAGCTGAGTCACCAGTGTCACCGTAGGAACACAGCCTTCTAAGGGGTGCCCCCAGCCTGGGCATGCCAGCCCACAGGAAGCAGGATAAGAGGGCCTATCTTACCAGGCCAAGGTTCAAGGTGTTGTTGTCATCTTCAGGCATGGGCAGGTACACAGCCAGGGCTACACAGTTGGCAAAGATGGTGAGCAAGATGATGGTCTCGAAGGGTCTGGTGCCAGAGTTAAGGAGAGCCCCGAGTGAGGTGTGCAGTTTGTAGGATTGAGGAGAAGAAAACGCCAAGTGTTAGTCTGGACTGTGACTATAACATTACAGGGATGGGGCTGCTCCTGGGGACTTGGGCCACAGGTTCCATTCCTGCTGTCCTGCAGGAACCCACCTGGGAACCTGGCTCCCTCCCTCAGAAACAGGTAACATCCTCTTAGGCTCCTGCGGGCCACAGGGCTGGAACCTGGCTGAATCCCAGGGGGTCTTGCCCCTCCACTCTAAGTACCTCTCGTTTTTGTCTGTCCCTCCCAAGGCGCCAGGACTTTCTGAAATGGTGGCCAGGCAACCCGCTGAACGACTCCCTCAGAGAAATGGCCAGGAAGACTGGGGACCAGATGCAGGTTTGGATGAAGCTCCCACGGGGCTGGCCTGGAGAGAGGGAAGGCGGAGAGCCATGTGTTCACACCAGTGTGCACAAGTGTGCACCAACTCACACCTCCCCTCTCCCAGGCACAGGGTCCTGCCTTTCTTGATTTGCTGACCCATTAGAAAGCAAGAGTGTGGGAAGAGTCAGGGAAGGAAAAAGAGGGTGGGTGATGTGCTGCTTGGGGATGGGCATGGAGAGGCACCCTACAGAGGAGAGTTGGTTTGAACTATCCCGTTTCCTTCCCAGAAAGCTCCAGTGTCGGGAAGAGAGAAGGCTTTGTGGCAGAGGCTTGTGACAGGAGAAGGCTTGGAGGAGGGAGGATGGAGGAAAGGGAGAAGTGGCCTAGTAGGCCTGCTCTGACCAGAGACAGACAAGGAGGAACAGGCCTGGACCTGACCCCACGTTCTCGCCCCACTGCCTTCTAGTTATTCCTCCTCCTTTCTTCCAAAGGGCAGCTGGAAGGAGACCATCTTCCATAGCCCTGTAGAAATATTTCAAGCATTCCTGACCCTCTCAGAATCCACTCAACACAGCTTCTCCTCTGCAGCTTCTTCCCTGTTTCCCCAAATAACCCAGATATTTCCATCACTTCTCCTCCTCTCAGAGCTCAGGCAAACATAGAAAGGGATTTGAAGTCCCTGTGCCCAGGGCAAGAAGTCTGAGCCAAAGCAGCCAGGTTTGCTGGGCCAATGTCTTGGAGCTGCTAAGGGCAGGCCTTCCTTCAAACCCAGTTCTCTTCCAGCTCCGTCCCCAGCTGGGCCTGGGTCCAGGGATGCCTTCCCTCAAAGACTGCTATACTCTTCATTTTCACCCCTCTCATCAAGGGAGACAATTCCGTCAGAGAAGCTACTGCTCCCCACCCCCACCATCCTATTCCAAGCTGAGACCATGTCTTCAAAATCTAGAGGACACCCCACGGTGATGAGGACTGGGGCACAGTTGAAAACAGTCCCCATGATACAGCCCGCTTCCTCAGACGGAGGAGGGTCTCTCTGGTTGGTGGCCCATTCAAACCCCAGGGAGCCCTCCAACCCCAGCCCTGCTCTCTGGCAGGGGGTGGTCTTCCTTGCTTCCCAAAGGTTCCTCGGGCCGTGCTGTGGCAGCTCACTCCAGTCCAAATCCCAGCCACCCCAACCCTCCAAGTCTGTGCTTGGTGACCACCCCCACATCACGCACAGGCTCCCACCGCTGGCCCCAAAGGATACTTCCATTCCACGATGCTGATGCAGGCCTTCCTCAAGGGGTTCTGCAGGCTCAGGCAGAACAAGGCCCGGGGTGGCCTCGGCAGAATCTCAGGAACAGGCTTCTTGGGCTGTTTCTTCCTCAGGCTCTCGTCCTGGGGTGAGGACGGCTCCATGGCTTCCCTGGCAACCTCGTGTTTCCCTGCTCCCCCACCCCACTACCTTCTCCTCCCTGCGTCCCCAGTGTCCCCCGCCTTGGGGACTGGGTCTGGCTGAGTCCGTCCTGCTGAGCCAGCCTGGCGGGGGCAGGACTGGGGGTGGAGGATTACTCTTCCTGCTCCCAGCGAGTAAAATTAGCCTCCACTGGCTCCCTGCTGCCCAGCCTGAGCTCCTGAGGCCAGGCAGCTGTCACTCCTTCCAGCCCCGCCACTGACATCCCAATTCGTCCCCTGAGGAGGGTGGGGGCTGGGAAAGGAACTTACACACAGGCCTAGGATGAAACAGGGGCACTGGCCACTGACACAAGGGTTCAAGGCTGGGGCGATAGAGTTCAGAAAGGGGGAGACTAAGGGGTGGCGTCTCAAACTTCAAACTGGCGCCTTGCAACACTGTCCCAAGAAGGTGCTGGGTGGCCTAGCTCAGCACAGCTCCATAGCACCCTCTACCCCACATCTCAGTACCTGCAGAGGTCTGTGCAAGCCTCCTTCATCCTTACTTCATCATGCTCAAATCTGTCAGGGAACAGTTAACTCCTCCTGACTGGGGCGGCTGGGGCGGAAGGCTCCCAGGACAACCTCAAAAGCGCTCACCACTGACCCGCACCTGTCACACTTTACAGAGACACTAGGCCTCCTCCCGTCCCTAAAGCTCAAGGGTCTGAGACTGCACACTCCCGCACACAGGCCTTCAGTGAGTGCTAAGCGCTCTGTACCTGTTAGTGAGTGCGTGAGCTAAGAGGACACTCTCCACACCCTAGCCCAAGTGCAGCTGAGCTGGGAGGGTGAATGAAGAAGGAGCTGGGGTGGGGGTCAGCAGAGACAATGGTCTGAGAATCACAATACTCAACAGTCCTTTTATTTAGCTCTCTAGTGTAAACACAGCGCCAAGGAACCCCAGCGGCCTGCAAGCCTTAGGGCAGAAACTGCACTCAACCTAGGAAAATCCCGGAGAAGGCCACACCGAGGGCTGGGGTATGTGTGTGTGCGGGGGGGTGGGGGGAATCGCTTTCCATCCGAGAAGTCAGAGAAACCCACGAGGGGACACGCATGTCCTCCTTCCAAGAATGTCCGTTCCTGCGGTGCTGGGTTCCTCTGTCAAGCGGCAGCGAGCTCACTGAGGCCATCTCCTGGAGGGCCGGAGCTTGGCGCATCTGAATCAAAGTGCGACTTGCTCTCTTCCAGGGGGTTGGGAGACAGGGCTGGCCTGAAGAGAAGGACAGAGCAGGGCCTCCAGAACCAGGTTGGGTTCCGAACTTCCCCAACGCAGGCCGAGCAGGAGCTTGACGCAGGGGCATCAGTCCTGGGCGGCCCCCTGCAGCCTGAGGAGGCTGCGGGTGGGTTGCAGCGGGCACGTCAAGCTGTCCCAGGCCGCGCCCTGCAACGCACTCGAGGTGCTCAAGTCTACAGTGCCTCTGTCCGACACCCCGAGCCCAAGCTGGTGGGGGCAGGAGCGCCACGGACCTTCAAGCTTTAGGCCCCTGCCCTGAGAATTGGGAAGTGGTGCGGACCCCCAGAGGCCGGGGCGACCACAGGCCCATCAATGGCTGGATTCCTCTGACTCAAAGAAAGGCGAGGAGGAGAAGCGGGAGCATTCGGACGGCTCGGGCACCAGCGAGGGGGGCGCCAGGGCCTGGCCGTCGCCGGGGCAGTCGGGCCGGGAGTCGGCGGGCGGCGCGGAGCCCGCGGAGCCGTCCGGGGCGGCGCTCAGCAGCTCCTGCAGGTACTTGATGTAGCGGATGGCGGCGCGCAGCGTCTCCACCTTGCTGAGCCGCTTCTCGGCCAGGGCGCCGGGCAGGTGGCCGCGGAGGCGCGCGTAGCCCTCGTTGACGCACTTGACGCGCTGCCGCTCGCGTTCGTTGCGCTTCTGGATGAAGGCGGGCTCGAAGGGGCAGTCGTAGACCCCGAAGGCGCCGGGGAAGGGCACGTAGGGCAGCACCCCCGCGTAGCCGTCGTAGTAAGGCGGCTCGGCGGGCGCCGGGTACAGCAGGAAGGGCATGTTGCCCAGGGGCTCGGCGGCGGGCAGCGGCGCCTGCCTGGGCGGGGGCACGACGCCCAGCTGCGTGCAGCTAGGGGCCCCCACGGGCCGCGGGTCCACCAGGGCCCGGCAGAAGTTATTGTTCATGGTGTCGCGGGGAGCGGGACCCAGAGTGAGACTGTCCCTGAGAGGCCCCGGCTAGGAGTCTGCCCGGTTCTGACCACGGGGACAAGTCACATCGCCAGCAGCAGCTCCGCAGCACTTGCTAGGGCCTCTTTTTGTCCTTCGGAGTGGCTTCAGAGGACTCTCGAACGCGAGCCATTGCTCTGGAGAAACGTGGCCCCTCGCAGAGGCTCAGCAGGCGCGCTTTCCAGTCCCACTCATGGTGCTGCGGACCGCTGAAGGCCCTCACCCTCCTCCACGCCACTCACGGGCGGGCGACAGGGCGGTGTGCCCTGCTCCCTGCAGCCCAGTGCGGGCACGTCTACTGGCCCTAGCCGCGAGCCTCCACGCGGGTGCGTGTAGGGGAATCCCCAGTGCCTGGTTCTTGTACCTCGCAGCCTTCGGGGATCCCCAGGCTGTCTGAGGGTCCCGTGTTGATGGCAGCTGTCAGGAGTACACCAGCTCAGCAGATGGGGTCTAGGGAAATGTTTCTAAAAAAGAGGAGAGTGACTGTGTTAGGGGTTTCCTTGTGTGCCTCTCAGCCTCAGAAGGAATTGTAGCATTGTGAGGGGAGGTAGGTGGCTTCTGGAAAGGTGCAGATCAGGGCTCAAATCACCCCTTAATAGATGGGTGGACCTCCTTGAGCCGTGATTTCCATAAATGAAAACATCCTTCCCAAGAGATCAATAAGATATGAGGATCAAATGTGGAAAAAGAGTATCCCAAAACCCCTCCTCCAGGACCTGGCCAAAACAAGTGTCCAGCACTCCCATCTCAGCCTTTTTGCTAAGATCAAGTATAAAAATGCCCAGTGATGTCATTTCCTTTGAGAATTCGGATCAAGTTTTGTCACTGATACCTTCCGGGGCCTAACTTTTAAAAGGGGCTCAGAAATGATCTATTAGCAGTTGGGACTGCAGTGGCAGTCACAAGAAACTCAGGCAGTGTTGGCACTTTCAAAACCCTCTGCCGGATAGAGTCAATGGCCAATGTCTTCTCTGCCCAGACCTTGTGAGTCCGGGATACACTCTCCGTCCACCCTGGGCTTCTCTTCACAGAGGGGTCCATCCTTGCACCGCTACATGCCCAGAGCCTAGTCCTGCCCCTGGCAAGTAATAACGTCCCCCATACCTTGTTGAATAACAGAGAGGGGATTAGGCAGGGAGCTGGGCTTGTCAGGGTGGGACTTAATTACATGTAGCCTTTCCCAGGTTTTAGGAAGCTGTTATTTCAGAAATAATTGGTCTGTAATGACTTTAAGTGCCACCAGGCCTCATCCCGGTGGTTATCAGATCCAGGGTAAGTGTAATTTCTCCCAGGAAGCCGCTGTGTCCTTGTTCCCCTCTCTTGTGCGTGTGCAGCGTCCCTAAACGCCATCTTAACACGCGTCATGCTATTACTGCTCTTCTCTTGTTCACTGAGTGAACGAGTGGGTACTGCATCCCACAGACGGGGCAGTGTGGGGTCTTGGGCAGTGGCCAAGGCTCCTCCATGAAACAGAAAAGGGCAGCCCTCTCCCTGACAAGTGGGTCAGTGGCAAACTCATTCCCAGGAGTGTCTCCTGTGCCCTCCCACCTCTGTCCTTTTTGCAGACCTTGAGTCTGCTCCTGGCTAGCTTTGGCTTCCATGCTGAATGAGAAGATTCCAAGCATCATGGAACTGACGCTTGTGCTCAGGTAGAAGAATATGCCGGAGACAGCAGCAGGACCGAGTTCTATATGCCTGCCCTTCTCCACAGCCTCCAAGGGTTCCTCAGTGTTTTAAAGAGAAGGCTCTAAAAGATCTCCTCTCCCAAACAAACACTTGTTTCCATCAGGATACTGATGCTTCTGATACTCTGCTTATTCCTCACACTTCACTCTGACTCTGGCTTTGGGGCCTCTGGCCCCTCTCTGCTTTGTCACCCATAGGGAAGGGCACAGATACAGCTTCTGGCACACTGTGGAGCTTTCTAGCTTCTAACAGGGACTTTCAAGGCTGTGCATTCTGAGATCCACCCAAGCACCCAGAGGGCATGGCTGAGTGTCCACTTTCTTAGTGCCCCACTCCCCCAACCCTTGCTCAGTGCTGGGCAGGTAAAGGCTATTCAAAATACCTGCTCCAGCTTTCCTCTGCAACAATTTGGGATCCAGACTGTTCTCCCCCAACTTAATTTTTAAAAATTTGATCTGATAGAGGTTAGAAAGGTATTTACATAAATGACAGTTTTAATAAATATAACAACCTCTGCTCCTGTTTCAATACTCATAGCTTTTTAATTTTTAAACTAAAGAACCCATATTCTATTTACATTTTTTCATAGAACTGGCTCAGGCAAGAAGCCTCATGGCAGGACATAATTCTCTGTGAATTACGTCTTTACTGTTAGAACAGAATGGGTAACTTGCCAGAGAGAACAAGTGGGAACACACCTGTGATTGAATAGTTTCTTCCCTGTCACAAATCCTCTGCCCCCTACAGAAGCCGAGTGAAGTGCAGTAGCCCATCATTACTAAGCAGCATGATAGTAGCAATTCACTGAGGGCCTTCCACGCTCAGGGACCGCACCAGTACTGGTTTCAAGCAGTCAACAAGCATTGTCATGAAATACCTATAATCACAGCTATTACTTGTTATTTATGATATGCAAGACACTGCTGAGTGCTGTATGTGAGTCATCTCATTGAATCTCACACCATTTTTGTTCATATTATCCAGTATCACAGGTGAGAAAATAGAGGTACATACAGGTTAAATCAATTGCCCAAGGTGCCATGGTTAATAATCATGAACTAATAAATAATAATCAACTTTCTCTTCTTCCCCCATTATTTCTCCTAGTGTCTTCACCCCTGGTCAAAGAATCAGAAAAGTTTGCGTTGATCTAACAGAAAGATCTTAGTAAATTATGATTCCTAGTGGAGAGAAGTGCCGCAGTAGAATAAAATTATAGTGCTAATATTTACCCCTGCTGTGATAAGAGGAGTATTGCAGGTCACCTTGGTTGTCCTTGGGAAGATAATGCTCCCTGGAATATGTTCTTACCAAGATAGCTCACAGAGTCTTGTTGCTGGGAGGACTGAGTCAAGCACCAAGAGCTTATCTCCTGGGAGGCCCCTTGCCTAGGCTTAGGAAACTGGAATGGATTCTCTGGCAGGGCCGAATCTGTCAGCAGCCAGAACCTACCTGTAGGCTGTTAACTTGCCTGGGTGGAACCAGCTGTCAACAGCGCCACACTGTGGTGGGGAGAAATAATGGCAGAATCAGGGGGAGGAGGTTCCAGGTCTTGACCCCGTGGGAGATATGACTGTAATTCCCTAGATGTTTTGAAAAATTTAGGGTAGGGAAAGACCCTCAAGGAAGAGGTACTGAGCTTTCTGTCAGTGTACTAATTTTTCCCCTTGAGTGTGTGAAGGAATTCAATTCACTTAAATTTTCCTTATATACAGATAGATAAGATAGGTACAATTAAATGTGCTTTTAAAAAAAATAAAAATAGTGCATTGTTATTTATGATATGCAAGTATTAGGCAATTTACAAGACACAAGAGGATCTAAAATAGCATATAGCAGCCTTCTCACTACACATTAACTTCCATAGCCACTACTGAGAGAACACTGTTGTGTGGGGGTGGGGGGAGATCATGGGTGCCCACGGCTGGCAGGAGGAGTCTAATGTCCTGCCACACAGCTTTCTCGGGAGGCATGCTCCCCCTGGCCTTCTCTTCACGGCCGTGACATGGGCACAGTTATGCCCTGTACAGCTACTATTTTGTGGGGGTTCAGCTATTACCAGACATTGTGCAAAGAACTTTATAATCTTTAATCCACTGTGCAATAGAGGAATAAATTGACAGTAGTGGAGGGTGGTCCCCAGGGCCTTGACCCTAGTGCCTTCTGCTTCTAATTGTGCAACAGGTAATGTCTGCCTCACCAGCACTAGCCCCTTCCTGTCACATGAAGCTGGAGGCTGTAATTGTGATCCCTCCTGAAGGACGGATGGCATGCTATTACCACCTACTGTAGATGACTGTAATAACTAGCCTGCTGATCTTTGTCCCAGCCCTTTCCTGGGTGCCCTATGTTTTTTAAAGAGAATTTTAAAAATAACAAAATACCAACAATACAGACAAAAACAAAACAAAGCAAAAACAATAAACATGATACAGGGCTTCAGAACAAGATGATAGGAATTAACAGTGGATGTTATATTACATATTGTTCTCTTCAACGAAGTTGCTCAGATTACCAGGGGTAAAAATGCAAGGTGGATCAGACCATTACAGAGAATAAAAAATAATAAAAAATTAGAAGCAATACAGAGCTTCACTAAACACGATGGTAGGAATTCACCAGTGGTTGTTATATTGCATATTGTTGTCCTCAAATTAGTTGTCCGGATTACCAGATATAAGCGTGCAAAACTGGTCAAAAAATTTAAGCCTAAACTGTTCCTTTCAATAAACCAATAGACATCAGCAGTACAGTTATCCCAGCTATCCTGCCATATACATATATATTTTTCCCTCCCTTCTTCCTTTCATTTTCTCCTTTCCCTCATCCCAGTTCTTTAAAGTACTCCCCATGCAGTTTGGTTTTTGTTCCTGAACTCTCTGCCTACCCCTCTGTCTTCAAGATTTCTACCTACCTTCTCTTCCAGTAGATTTTCTGTCTTAATATTGAGATCTTTGATCCATTTTGACTTCAGTTTAGTGCATGCTGATTGACACGGGTCTAGTTTTAGTCTTCGGCATGTGGAGAGCCAGTTTTCCCAGCACCGTTTATTAAAGAGGCTGTCTCTCTTCCAGTGAACATGTGCCCTATGTTCACCAGGCTCCCTTGCCCCAGTCTTACATTCCTGGTGGCCTCCCAGGACTCCTCTTGCACCTTACCCCACCCTGCTGGCAAATTATAAGCACAAGAACTCCTGTCTTCACTTCGTCTTTGAGACACGCAGTTCAGGCTTAATAAATGTTTGTTGATTGACACTGGTGGGACCCCCTCCC